CGCAATCCATATAATCATCGGAGGAATAATCGCTGCAAATGGCGATCAATATGTTTGGTCTCATAGTTTCCGGAAGACTTGTAAACAAACTGATGAACCGTTTGATGCATTCATATACTCATTGTCTGATTGTCTTCACCATAGGTTCAGACGGACTTCGTGTCGGTTGATGTGAACAAGTGTTTGATTACAATCCAAAACGCCGATGACATCAACCATGTGGTCGTCTTCATGACTGGTTCCCAACCATTCCCAGAAGGCATGGCCGGCACCGGTATTGCAATCACTTCCACGTCGATTACCACAAACTAATGAATTGTCTGATAGTATACTTCAGTTTCCCGGACCCGTTGTCACCGCCGACGTGGATATACTTGGGATTCATATCCAACGACAAGCCTTCGGCCATATTTAAGATCACAAAATTGAAACCAACGACTGATACAAACGGTTTGTCTTGTATTGGATGTCAGATCCAGCGATAATGACTTGATTTTGTTGTCCGAAGTGCTGGCGAGTGGTGATAGTCGTGGGTTTGGGTTCGCGCAGCCGATTGTGTCACACGTGGCACAGATAGGCATCTCGACGGAGCCGATGGCCGTCATCTCGCAGATGGTGTCCGACCCCAACGCCAACCCAACCCAACAAAACAATTTCGATGACTTCGCCGTCAAAGCGGCCGAAAATCTGTTCAATTATTGCACGTCTTTCTCAAACTCTTTGCAACAGTTCCTCAACTCTCCACTCAATGGCCAACAGTTTATACCGATGTCTACAATACAACAATGGTATGAGAACTTCACCCGAAGATTGCGACAAAACCCACACTTCTGGAGGAATTGATTGGCTTTTATTCGTATATAAAAATATGATATGTTTTGTGATATATTTAGTGCACTATATCTGTGCCTTAAGCTCGCAATCATTGAGAAGTAATTGAAGCAAATATTCAATTACTTTGACGTTCACTGAGTTTCCGAGTAATCGATACTTTTGTTTAATTGTCAAGTCTTCGGGAAAGTCTGAAACGGATGTCAAAATAGGTGTTAATTGATCATCAAATCATTAGAGTATAGCTTTTGTTATTCATTATGTTTCTATTGCTATCACAATTGTCGTCATTTGATAGATATTTTAAATTCACTCTATTTTTAAATCAAATGTTTGCGATTAAATGCATTTGTTATCAAAATCAATTCAAATATAATATATTGATACCGTAACAAATTTTATATTCTTATAAAAGTGTGCACTTTATATGAATTGTCACTAATGTTTGTATGAGTTATGAAATAATGAATTAAAATTGCATTAACAGTAACTTCATTAAGGGTTTCACTTAATATAGTAAATGAGTGCAAAACCGACCGAAATGTGTTGGGAATGACATTAAATTGGAGATTTCTTTGGGTGTGAAAAATCTGAGTCCAAGTGATCGTAAAATAACAATCTTTTGCTCATCGGTTTG